GTCCTGCTTTTGCTTCCTATTCTATCCCTACATCAAGGCCTGAAAGCCAGAGAAATGAGAATACACACCATGTGTGTATTTGTATCCAAGCCATCATCTCACGTTCCCATATATCTCTTCATCGTCACATCCACCCAGCTTTCTTCTAGATTTCCTTTTCCTCTTCATCCTCTCATCCTCTTTCCATTACATCCCCCTTCCATCCATGACTTATTCTCTCCCAACGATAGATGACTGAAAAAAGAAACGCCACAACAATGCTTTTTCCACAAGTATCATCTTACAAAAGAAGTGAAATCGTCCCCAACGCCCATGCATTCTACCTGCTTCATGCTTTTCCCCATGTTTTCTCCATGATGGCTATCTACCTATCAGTGGTGATAGATAAATTTTGTTGCCTTGGTCCTGAGTCATCCCCTGTTGACGCCCTTTTGATCTTTCGCTGTTATTGATCATCAAGTATATACTAATTCGAGTGAAATCAACAATCGAAACCCCTCTTAATTCGTAAATCCCATCAACTTTGTAATTTCATCCAATAACTCTGTTAAATCATCATCACTGATTTTATCTTGTAAACTGGGTATTAAAGTCTTTGCTTCATCGGCTGTGTCACAACATAATGAACCTTTAACTCATGTTAGTATTGCTTTGCGCAACTATTTCCTCAGTCGACAAATCCCATGTCCCAGACTGGCTCCTCTATCTTCCAAGAACCCTTCAAGCACCCAATCCAGACAAACCAAAATAAAGAGAATTGAACCTACCCAATTGTGCTCTCTCAAATTTCGCCAACTCACTTCTACTCCCCAAAAGTCTCTCCACAGCCTCCACATTCTCCTTCCTTTTAAACCTCGCAAAATGATCCAGGTATTCTTGAGTCTTACTTAAAATCTCGGTCTCATTTACATTTTTGCGATCACCGCGACGTTTTGCGACAAGCGCGTTAATAACAAGTGCTGCTTCCGAATGAGTGAGCGCATCTACGTCTTGGAATTCTCCCAGTTTGAGAACGGTAGAGGCTTCTTCGTCACCTGCTGGAGGGGCGCGCGAGCGAGATGTAGGGGCCGGTGTTGCCATTTTTAAGGGGAAAGATTTGAAAGTCTTTGATGATGAAGAGTTGTCGCGCGTGGATTCGTACTGGGTTCGAATTCGATGGAGCGTCAATTGTCCTTGCAACTTGATACCGTTTTCGCGAATATAACTCTAGAATTAAAAAAAAAAACTTCCTTCCTCAAAATCGCGTCGTCCCTATCAATATCAATCTCGTACTAGATTTGATATGTTCGGTTGGAAATATTGTTTTGACTTGAAAGGAAGAAAGAAAGCCAGTTCCGGGTTGATCGACAAACATGTGCTGGTCGGCAAAATCTCGAAATCCGGGGAAGGCTGCTTACTTAACCGTTTTGGGACGAGGCTACAGACTTCCCGGAAGGTTATGTATATTGATCCGCCTCGAACTTTATGTTACGAAGAATGCGCCGAGCTTGATATTTGAAGGGATTTATCTTTGATTTTTGAACTGTGTGGATAGAATTGAAGGATTATTGCGGTACTAAAGAATCTCTGCGAATAATTAATTCCTACCACGAATCCCTCCCTGCTCTTCTGTTCCAGTGTCTGCTTGAGCGCATCAAATATCAAAATGTAAGTTCCACCTCCAACCTTTCTAATCAAGTCTTCAAAACACAATTCTAACATGAAATACATAGGGTCGTCTTCGCTCTCACAATAATAAATAAAGCTGGTGGTCTTATCTACCAAAAAGATTTCGCGGATGGATTGAACAAACTTTCTATAAATGATTATCTGGTTCTTGCTGGAACATTTCATGGGTGCGTCTCTATTTCAATCTTCCTCTTCCTCCGTTTTTTCTTCAAGACTGGATTACCTTCTCGAATTCAACGACGTCTCACTAACAAAATCCAGCGTCCACGCCATTTCCACCCGTCTAAACCCCATTCCAACCACTCACCTACCCCCAGGATCCTCCCATCTCCCAACAACCTCACACTCCAAAACTCTCTCCACTCTTTCCTCCCTATCCTCAACTCCAGCTTCCGATGATCGGCCTGATCCTCCCTCTGGCATTGAAGTACTAGAAACCACTTTATTCCGCCTCCAATGTTTCCAAACTCTTACCGGCACGAAATTTCTCTTATTCACTGAACCTGGTATGCCGAATGTTGAGAGTATTTTAAGAAAGATATATGAATTGTATACGGATTATGTGATGAAAAATCCGTTTTATCAGTTAGAGATGCCGATTAGGTGTGAAAGGTTTGAAAGAGGGGTGGAGAGGTGGGTTAGGGGGGTAAACATGAGGTAGTTTGAAAGGTGCTGGGATGGGATGGGTTAGAGGAGAGAGGACTTCAGCAAGGGTCAATAAGAGCTATGAGCCGAGAGGCTATGTTCGAAGAGCAGAAGTAAATGGGGAGTATCAGTATACGGGTATACGAGATGATACTGGTACAGATGTACCTTGTCAGAACTCTCCATTAGAACTGAATAGAGACGACGAAATGTGGACATAATATTGGGTATAGAAGGAATTCATTGGGACTTGAGCATTAAATCAAAGGATCCATGCCGATGTTACGTAGGGTAAACATCATAGGAGTCAAGGAGTATACAAACTAGAAATAATTTGTTCACAAAGAGCCAAATACCATTGTTTATGATATCTATTGGTACATACCAAACGCCAGTTTGCCATGCAGCCCCAACCATTCATTCAATTATCAATCCATTTCCCCAACCTATATCATCATTCCACATCTAAGCCGTATCCATTTTATCATCATCTTTCTTATCCCCACTTCCACTAGCTTCCCCATCCTTATTCAACAGAGGTGCGGATGCCTCATCCTCTTCCTTAATTTCTCCTAAAGCAGATTGTTCGGCTGCTTCCTTCTCAAGTCTTGTCTTTTCATTCTTCTCAACTCTAGCTTTCTCATCCTCCATACTCATTCTCAATGCCAATGCTAACTCTGGGTCCACACTTGGATCGATACCAAATTCAAATGCGCTACTATCACCACCAGCATCTACTCCTCCCATACCAGCTGCTCCTGAAGCTCCATCCCCATGCAAAATTGGTGAGGTCATTAATTGATCACTGAGAAGTGCTGGTCCTGGTGGAATTATAGCCAAATGTGACCCATCACCTCCCTTGACATTTTCATTGAAGGCCGTCAATTTTTGAGTGACATCATCGTCGAGTTCTCCGAATACAACGAAATCAATCGAGACGTTATTCTTCTTCATCTTTTTGGCGAGTTTAACAAGTGATTTCTCATCTTCTGCGATTGGAGAACAGGTAAAAACGATTATACGTTGACGTTGGGATTTGTTCTGTCGATGTTTGAGTGCCAACTATTCGGAAGTCAATGTTAGAACTTGTCCCAAGCTGCATGTCAGGATAATAAATAGAAAATAACAATAACATACCCCAGCGATTTGAATACCAGTAGCTAAATGACTAACTCCACGAATCTTAGTCTTAGTACGATGTAATCCATCCAAGATCTTTCCATGATCAGTCGTTAAAGTAACAAGAACCTCTGGTCCTTTACCTCCCATAGACATTAAACCAACCGACGATTCAGGATTGGCTTGAGTAATGGTAGAAAAGATCCATGAAACAGCATCTGCTTGTGCTTCGAAACGTGTTGGTGTATAATCTCCATTTCGACTGCTTTCACTGTTGTCTACTACAACCATAACTGCTTCGAGAACCATCTTGATAGATGGGTTGCGGTTGGGCAAATATGCGCAAGGTTTATTTTAAGAGGTGTGGTAGATTTCGAGGTTCGAATGTTAGCAGATGACGATTGTAGAGTCGAAAGTGGTGGTAATCGGTGATGGTGAGGAAGAAGTTGATATTTGTTAAGGTTGCTCAAGGTAGCTATGGTTTGCGCGTTAAGGTAGAGTACAGCAAGCATCGCTAGCTTCGGAGCGTGCAAACCCCTGTAACCTTTTCAAGTTTGGGGGGGAAGTAAGAAAGTTTAGCCACATCTGTGGCGCTAAGCAAGCGATTTCGATGATGGATGGATAACAATCTAATGATGATGTTGATTCTCTATTCAAAGCATAACATTTGCAATTACCATACAGCATTTCGCAACTACAATTGTACACAAAACAACACAATACTTCAAATCCATACAAATCGCATTGCTCACACGAAGAATCACACAAAGACACACATACACACACAATAGCCTTCACAAAATGGCTATCACAATAGGTCAAAAGCAAGCTCTAATGGAGAACTTGCAACTGGAAAGTAAGTAATTTACATCAAAAACGCGTCAAATCACATACTAATTTCCCTTCAACAGTTACTGAACGTGCCAGAAAGCTCAGAGCACAATATAATGTTCAAGCTCAAGGTTTAAAGACGCGTATTGAAATTCGCGTTAATCGTATACCCATTTCAATGCGGAAAAAGAACATTGGAGATTTGTTCGAGAAACATAACAATACTGGTGCACAAGCAGCGCGTAATGAAGTCCGACCGCCAGTTCCACCAAAAAATACTCAAAAGAAAATTCCTGTTGAAGAGTCTGAAAGCGGTTCAAGTACTCAAAGCACAACATCATCCCACATTAGCAAAAGGAATAGGTATGTTTTCCCCGCAAGTACATGGACCATATATTAACAATGTAAAGTGACGAGGCTTGTTTGGATAAGGAAAACAAGGTTGATAACCCAAAGAAACGTCAAAAGGCTGCCCCTATTCTACCTGAACGAACCACTTCCCGTGTTAATATGGATCCAAAACAAATACTTTCACCAAGATCCGCAAACTCCAGGACTTTACCTGCCTCACCAATTAAACCTGCACCACCAGCCAAATCTACCACAGATTCTCGCCCACCTACTAGAACAGGAAGGAAGATTGCACCACATACAAACCCAGCTGGAGCTGCTCGAGCAAAATCTGCATCCGCAACTTCGGGTCCAAAAACTACACGAGGAAGAAATGTCAGCAATACCAGTACAGATACTGTTATTGTTAAAAAGGCGCCTGCTGCAAAAGTCAAAAAGGCAGCGGCTACACAATCTATACAACCCACGCAACCGGCTAGCACTGCTGTTGGAAGAGTTTTAAGAAAAAGAGCATAAAATCATTTCATTGGCTACGACCTCGTGCATTTTTTGTTCAAATGCAACTTAACCTTCGTTTATAAGCACTCAAACTCAATTGAAAACACTCCTCCTGTGGAGCGGGAACTTCCTCTATGTGTTTGATTAAGGATGTTATGGGCTGTGACCCCTTCTTTAATTAACATACATAGGGCATATAGAACCTTGATATTGTGGCTTGTGGTTTGAACTTGGACTGTTGAATTAAAGCTAGAATTGGATTGATGGTTGGTAGTTAAATGGATGATAGAATTGTCTTTCTTGGAAATGGATAATGAGGCTTTTTTGTATCTTTAGCGATTGGGATAATGGATGGTTTGCATTGCATGAGCTTTTGGGACAAGAGAAGGCAAGGATTATTGTATAAGCTTCTTTGGGACATTGGGAAGAAGTGGATCATTGGCGTTTGATTGTTTTATATCAATAGAATATCTTTTTACTATATGCATGTGTTGTGTTGTGGTAAATGAATTGAGACCCTTAACTTCTATATGGAATTCTTTCTTAATAGGATTACCTAACATGAAAACCATTCATTTTAGTCTTATTAACTTGAGACTCCGCTAGCCCAGAGATTTAATGGCCATGGAAGCAGAATATTTCATGACTAGTGAACTGCCTAGATCCAACCTTTAACATCACAATCTGACAAACAGCCCAGCTTCCTTACTTTGAGCAACCGGATTAAAGCGGCCGCTTGGCTTACCACGGAAAAACTACCCCACCATTCCCTTTGATCTTGAGTTCATCAAGTGTTAAGATTCCATTCCCCTACAAATACTACATAACAAACAAAAACACCAAGACCAACCATTTTGAGATTTTTATAAGTTTTATACCCATCAATCCATTCTATCTATTAAGAAATC